AAAAAAAAGAAGGTACTCAGATTGTAACATGGATCCTAATCAATGACTCTAAGAAATACACCAAGTCTAGAGGCCACACCAACCTGGGAACATGGATCAACACAAATATACTTACATGCGATGAAAATTGTAGTGTGCATATGTACAAATATACATACACACAAAACTCCAACTAACTCCTGGCTAGCAGGACAAACACAGAAAGAGGCAAAGTTCCCTGCTGTGGTCAAACCTGGTTTCCTCCCTATTTTGTTCTTTTTTTTTTATTGTTTTATTATTCATATGTGCATACAAGGCTTGGGTCATTTCTCCCCCCTGCCCCCACCCCCTCCCTTACCACCCAGTCCGCCCCCTCCCTCTCCCCCCATCCCCTCAATACCCAGCAGAAACTATTTTGCCCTTATCTCTAATTTTGTTGAAGAGAGAGTATAAGCAATAATAGGAAGGAACAAGGGTTTTTGCTGGTTGAGATAAGGATAGCTATACAGGGCATTGAACTCACATTGATTTCCTGTGCGTGTGTGTTACCTTCTACGTTAATTCTTTTTGAGCTAACCTTTTCTCTAGTTCCTGGTCCCCTTTTCCTATTGGCCTCAGTTGCTTTTAAGGTATCTGCTTTAGTTGATCTACAAATGAATCAGGTAAAATTATATACAGTAAATTTACACTTACCCCTTCCTTCTGGCTCTATCAATTCCTCAATCATCTCCAGCAGAACCCATCTCAACCGCCATTTGTATAACAAAGCTCTTTTTGAGAATTAACAAAGGTCAAAAACTGTAATACCACAGTCAAGAAGTCGTGCACACTGAAACATCAGTACATCTTCCTATACAACTGACTGCAGTGAACAGTAAAAAAGATACTTCCTGAAATTTCCTTTCAAAATGATTCACATTTAATTATATTTATAGAAGTAGAGATTATAGTTACAGAGGGGAAAAAAAACAAGTATCTATCAAAAAAAGGCAAGACAAAAAACTGTTACAATGAATGCAATCCATAAGATTTTTAAATACTGTAAAAACAATGTCAGGAAATGGAAGACAGGATCAGGCCATTTTCCCATATCTCACAGGGAAAGAATAAACAGATAAAAATGATCAGTAAAATAAGTCTGGTGACATACAAACTGATATGGGAAATCCAATATATATGAAAGGAATTACTAGAAGAGAAAATAATCAAAGAAATGACTAGGGGGAAGGGAAACTCACCCAAATCTACAAATCAAAGAGGCATATGAAAAACCAGAAAACAAGTGTGTGGGAATCTAACACCTGGAGGTATCCTGGTAAAATTCTTCTACTTCAAAGATCAAAAGAAAAAAATCTATCAGCCCCTAGGCAGCAGAGAGAACAGGCTATCTATAGAACTGTTGTAATGAAATTATCAAACAAGAATTTTATACTCCAGGTAATATTTGTGGAAATGAAAACTGTGGATGACATGTGAAGAAATCCTATGCCAAATTGGGTTGTGAAAGAAGCGGCAGTCACGCAGACATTTAAATTAGTTGGTAAAGAAGTACAATTTACACACACTTAGGCTATAAAGGGGGTAAGTTGATAAATGTTAGAGAAAATTTAAGAGGAGGAATTAAAAAGAAATAGGGAGAGAGAGAAAGACAAGGAGGGAGGGAGGGAGGAACAGAGGGAAGGAGAAGGAAGGAAGGAACGAAGGAAGGAAGGAAGGAAGGAGAAAAGCAAGGAAGGAAGGGAGAAAAGAATGCTTAAGACTTCAACCTACCCATTCAAGTATTTATTTCCCCCTCGACCTCAAGTCAGGAGAGTTGTGCCACCTGCAGTAGAGAAGAGACTGCATCTTACTGAAGCAGAGGACAAAGAGGCTATTTAGCTGCTTTTATAGTGAAGTTACAGTGGAGTTATGCTGGGATCTGCTCAACTCTCTGATTTTGTGTGAGAATAGATTAAAGGGAGGCCACTCATAAGAGAAAGTTAGGCTCAAGTCACTTTGAAACCTACCAAGTGCCTCTAGGGAATGACAGGACCAAAAAGAGAGAAGCCATGAATTAAGACTGCTGACAAACCAGAGCCCAAAGGCAAGAAAAGGCAGCCAGATAAAAAAATTCTTCATCTGTCATTCATGGAATGTTAAGTCAAATATTGCCACTGGGATCTCCCAGCAACCTAAGAAGGAACCTAAGAGACAATCAGTTCTAATCATCTGCCAGGCTCATTCAGCACAAAGTCATAACAAAATGTCTCATTGTTCTCCAACAGAAGAAGGTTTCAGATACAAAAATTTTAGAAAATGTAGCAACACATTCTCTTAAAACCCTCTAGTGGAATGAGAGATTGAGTACTTTGTAATAGAATATTCAGTAGCTGGCATTGTTATTAGTAGAATGAAGAACTGAGTAACAAGCACGAAAACCTTGAGATTTCACAGGAATAGATAATTCATATCCATGCTGCACATGAGCCATAGTCACAAAAGCCTAAGTCAGAAGACTCAGTTCTGCCCCCTTGGTCTCAAGAGTTCAGAGGTCAGATCACATTCTCTGATACCACAGATAAGGGTACAGTGAACTAGGTACAATGGTAGCAAACTGGCTCTTCACTGTCTCATGAAAAGAAGACATCTGACACCCTAATAATGTACAACAAAGATGCCTCAACTAACAAGGACAATTATAGGAAACAAATATAGTTGGCACAACTCACAAAACCTGGTTCCTTCGCACATACAACACAGCTTGCCAAGGCCTCCTCCAACACAGCCTAATTGAAAACTTGAACCAATTAATAAAAGCAACACTTGACTATGATTACTTAATATTTTTTCATTAATCATAATTCATATTGCTTTTAGCATGGATTACTAAATACTAAATAAAAAAGAATGAGCATATGATTTTATCCAATGACAAGCACACTCAGCTTTTTGAAAAATATAATAGTCCTTTTGTCAAATAATTATTACACAGAGTACCAACATTTGAAGGGGGTTGGTTGTGAAACCATTTGCTCTATTCCTCCTCTGTAATGTTTACTGTGAAACACTAGGGGTCCACAGAACACAATTTGTAAAAGAGGAATGTTATAACAAACTAGTGTTAAATTACAAAATAACACTTCTTCAAAATAGTAAGAAATAATTTCTTAATCTTCTCAGCATGTCAACAAAATAAGAATAGATTGTAGCTCCAATAACTCCTGCCAAAATAAAAACAGAACAAATAAACAAAAAGACTACAGTTGTGAAAATGCAACTAAGTGTGAAGGACTTTACTACCAACACATCAAAAGTTCACAAGATGGTGATATTTTGCACAAAATTAACATGATCAAAAGAACTGCATGATGTTCCCCAAGAGTTTAGGTTCCTCTAACTTTGAAGTAAGAATGTTGCTAAAAATTAAAAATCAAAATATCAATGACAGTGAAGACAAGTGATTTACAAGCAAGAAAACACTTCCAAAAAAGGACACTTCTATTTTCTCAGTCAACAATTTCCACTATCATTGACTTTGGATAAGAGGAACCACTTACATATGAATAAGGACAATGACAAGTATTGTGAGACCCTTTTCAGACCCACAATAAATATCTCCATAATTAATCAAAATATACTTATGTGTTAAGTGTTACACCAGCTATGTAAAAGATCTCATTTGGTTCTCCTAAAATCATAGAATGGAAGTTTCTTTATTTTTTGTGGTATTAGGGTTTAAACTTAGGGCTTCAAGCTTGCAAAGCAGGCGCTCTACTACTTGAGCCACCTGGCCAGCCCTAAGGTATCTTAATTCTATAGGTCCAGAAACTAAATAAAGAAGCTTGCTAAACAGTTAAAAATACAATTATCCTAGACAAATCAGTTCCCTTCCCTAGTATGTACCAAAAAGTGAAAACATATCTACATATGTCTTGTGCATATCTACATGCACAAGAATGTTTAGAACAGCATTAGCCAAAATAGCCAAAAAAGTAAAACAGCTCATTTGTTCATCAACAGATGAAGGGTTAAGTGGTATACCCATATAATGGTATATTATTCAACCATAGAAGGAAATGAAGAACTGATTCATGCATGTGACAAGATTTCCTTCTTCTGAAAGATTAAACAGTACCCCATTGTTTGCATATACCACACTTTGGCCATTCATCCATCAGCAGGTGTTTGAGTTGCTTCCATGTTTTGGTACTATGAACAACACTGCTGTCATGAGAACTCCTTTACCTCACCAGCCTATCTTCTTGCTATTATTAAGATTTGAAGGAAACAACGGACTTAATTAAGCATAAACAAATACCTACTGAGATTAATCAACGTTCCCCATGATGTCTTCCAAAAAATATTAATATATATTTGGGAAGAGAAAAATCCCATAATTAGAAAAGTTAGGAAACACTGTGGAAAAAGGTTAAACAGGTTTTTCTACTTTGGGGCTTCCCAGTCCTCAAGTTTTTCAGTGTGCACTTTGAACCCCTAAGAGGCCATATTGTATTAAAACATGATGTTACTACCATAGAAGAATGATCTAATTAAGAGAACCTGTATCTATTTCCTTTTTGTATATACTTATTTCTGAAAGGAACTCTAGCCAGGACATCAACAGTAACCATTTCATTTTGTGAATTGAAAAAAAAGAAAAAAACCACACATCTCAAATTCAGAATCAGGAACACTAAAGGTCATGCCATCTGGTCTTTACATTAGCATGTCTGCAAGTAAAGTATAACTGCAATATTAATATAACAAATTAATTATAACTAGGAATCAAATATATCAGAAATTATTCAAGAAAGAAGTCGTTCCTTTGGAATTAGGATCAATAAACTTTCTATCAATGCTCTATTTTGCTTCCACCAAAAAGGGTAATTGTAATGATGATAGCCTTAAGTCCACAAAGCAATGTTAAATTAGTAGAGTGAACTGTAGTTCAAAACTAAGTAAGTACTCAAAACTAAGTAAACTTGAGAATTCAATTCTCAACCATGAAAATTAACAAAGTTATTATTAAATGTGATACTTACTGCTATAATTTGGTCTCCAATTTGGATTCTTCCATCGTGCTCAACAGCACTGCTTTTCGTAATGCTCTTTACAAAGATTCCTGAAGGTTCTAAGATTAGAAACAGGTTATTTTTCACTATTTGCAAAGCACACTCAAAGAATATCCATCCTCCAGATAAAAAGCCATAATTTTGAAAAGACATTTATCAACAAGCCTCACAAAATCTCTAGCAGGAAGAACAAGGCAAATTATTTTGCCTGTCACATCAGTCACCTATACTAAATTATTTCTAAGGAAGTTTTCAACTAGTTTATCCAACAAGCCAAAAAAAATGTGCTAGTTTGGTATTTAATAAGATGGAGATATTAGAAGCAGTTGCAAAGCTTAAAAACTACTTAAGATTTACCTAATTTTTTATCTCCAATATAACCAGCGATGGTAATTCCTAATCCTTGGACATTTTTGGTGAGTTCCACATCAAACGTCTCACTTTCTTCACTTTTTTGAGTAGAAGCATCAACCTGAAATAAAATTAATAAAATAAACATGAAAAAAGAAGTAAGTTTAAAAGACCCCAGCTTTAATTTAAAAATACATACAACATAATAAGTGTCAGAGAACTCTACTAGAGAATGACAAAAGAGGTTACCCCTTCAATACTGATAACATGGACTGAGCATCTTATTTTATTAAGAAAAGATTGTCAAGAATAAGGACCAATCTCTCCTTATTAGACAGATACACTATTGTTATGTGCAAAAATTTTAAAAATAGTTTCTTGTTAACAAGGTTCTATTTTCAGAGATGGCTCATCTTCATTTCTGAAGGAGTCAAGATGTGCAGTTCAAAGAACTCATGTTTTATATTCAGATCAAAAAGTTCAAACCAAGAATCACCACTTAATTTTTCTAAGCAGCACTTTTTTCACAACCATCTTTCAGCAAAAGAGTAACAACAACCAGCTGAGCAGTTTATATGTAAGATGCACCTGACATGTCTCAATTTCTTATTCCATAAGCAAAATAATATTCTTTGTGTTCTTTATAAGCCAGTGGGGTAGATACAATTATTCTATCAATTTTTCTCTAGGGGAATTGAAACATAAACTTTTCTAAAGACAAACATCTAACATTCTATTAGAGGTAGAATTTAAATCCAAATAGTCTGGCTACAGGGTTCCTGCTCCTATATGATATGCAGTATGTGAAACCTTTAGTAGAATATAGGGGTCAAAGTACTTATATGATAGTGGCTATTATTTTTTAAAATTTATAGTTGATTATAATACCATGAACGCTGAGTTAATCTATCCTCAAGCTATGTTTAAAAACAGGCTGATGACTTACTCTGAAAACCAATGAAATGCACCAGGAAAGTCCTTTTTTGTTTTGTAAATTCAGACTTTACTAAGAAAAGATATTTACAAAGAAAGTATGCCATTCTGGATTAGTAACCTTCCTTACTAAAGTGATAACTAGGGAGTAGTTATCACTTTAGTAGATAAAGGGGGTTTCTCAGATATTAGCCTTCTCTAACATGCAGAGTTTTTACTATTGTCATTTGAGTAAAGAGCAAGACTCCCTAAATTAAGCATGGGTTGACTGGCACAATATGTCACAATGAACCACTGGTACTCTTCATTAGTGTGCTGTCAGCAGACTCTACAGACAACCATGAAAGAAACATAACAAAGTGAGGGCTAGGGTTATAAACAGCCTGCAGGTTGGGGTTAGTTGGCAATATTTTCTGATTCTCTTTAAACAAACTCTAAGTATGTCTCACTGATGGTCCACCTAAATAAGACAATTTTGAAGTTTGATTTTTTTTCATTGTATATAATTATCTGTGCAAACTTAGCAAAAGTTTAAAGTTTAGATAATTACAAGAAAATGACAGGATGAAATCTGCTTCAATTGAAACAAATGTGTTTTCTATTTTTAATAAGACTTATGCGAGTGCTATTTTAGAGGGTGGCAATTTGACTATCAAATGGTTTTAAAAGGGGCACAAGCTTCAGAAATGATGATATGCACAGAATAGATATTTTTCTAAGCTTTCAATTACATCAAGTGGTTTTCGGTGTTGCATTCATTTATATATTGCTGAATAAAATGTTTTGTTTACCACAAAAGAATGCCATTTAAACACTTTCATAAACAAGCTTTCTTACTTCTTTCTCTTTGCAAAAAATAGCAACCAAGCTCAGTCCTAAAAACAACAGAATCATGGAAATTTCAAGTGTTCTAATAAAGTTTTAAAAGGGTTGTGAAAGAGGTTAGGATATTAAAAAACAATTTGTAATAACTGGTTAGAAACAACTTTAAAAGAAGAAAACATAGATGTTTTTATATCTATGGGAAAAGAATGTAGAATTTGCATTTGCCATAAAGCTTATCTAGAAACCAGGTGTAATCCTCTTCTTCAATATTTAAGAGCTTCCTGGATAAAATTATTTTGTTGATATTTTATCCAGTCTTGTAACTTGTGAACCAGCTAAGAAAGTTACCACCTTCCAATGATTTTGAAATTTTTCACCTTTTTTTCATATCAAGTACAAAAATGGAATGTTGTATCTGTGAATAAAAGCTTTTGTTACAACACCAAAGCATCATTTTTGTTTAAAAATATAACTAGGTCAAGAATAATGATTATTCATTTCAAATCTGAAAATAATTCTAAGACATACCTAAAAAGATTACCACTGAAAGGTTCTAATGCTTCATTCGGTCCCACCACACTGCTCCCAGTCCCCAACCTCCACACAAAATAACAAAAAACAGTAAAAAGTTGTTGAAAAGGAGTGGTTAGAACTATGACCCAACTTACTAAGAGATATTGAATTAAACATCTTAGGTATTAGAAGAAAATAATTTTTTACAAATTCATCCACACTTCGAAATATTAACCCCATATATGGGTTGCTTTGAGAAAAATGTAAAATGACCACCTAACATTTTTAAGCAAACTATTTTTCATGTTTTATACATTATTCATGATTAACAGTACATTATTTGTGCCTAAGCATCCCTACATTTGTTTGTTCCATTCTTTAACACTAATATACTAATATGAAGTCTTGTCTCAAAATAAACATCACTGTCATCTACGTGCATTTTTCTCTGACCTTCACAGTAACTGTTTTTAGCTTCTTACCCGCAGCTCAGGTGTAGAAGATGGGGAGGAGAGGGTAATACCAAAAGAGGTGGGTGCTGTAGCTTCTTCTATGGCGCCTCTTGCGATCATCAACTTAACTCTATTTCCACACTGCCTGAGGACTTGTGCTACTTGCTCACTGCTCATTCCTGCCAGATCTGTGTCACCAATCTTTAGAATGTGGTCTCCACTACATAGTCGCCCATGCTAAACAAAAGAGAGTTTGAATAATGAGGCTAATGTTATTGTATAATGTGAACGGTATAATTCTTAAGAAAGTATTAGGTTAATCCCACAATTTTCTGTCTGGATAATTCACTTATAAATACCTCAAAAGAATACAGCTTGACTGGAGGTGTGGCTCAAGTAGTAGAGCGCTTGCTTTGCAAGTGGAAAGCCCTGAGTTCAAACTCCAGTCCCATTAAAAAAAAAAAAAAAAAGAATACAGCTGTAGTTGAAATCCTAGTCAGTCAAAAATTTAGATAAAAGCAGTCTTAAAAGCCTCCATAAAGTGGCATCTAATAAAGCTTCCTGGAATAATGAAACTCTTCAGTCCTGTCTAAGACAGCAGTTACTAGTGACATGTGTCTGTGGGACACCTGAATTATGGTTAGTCCAAATGAGGGACTACATTTTATAATTTCAGCTAATTTTAATTAATTTAAATTTGAATTTAACAGCATTGGAAAGTGTAGCTCTGTATTAAGGATAAAGAATAGAAAAACCCTCTCTCAAGCTTATCAATTTCATTTGCTACTGCTACATGTTAGGTAATGTTTTAAAGGAAGAAAATTTTGCATGCCATTATGCTACTGTTAACACTCCTATTTAAAATGTTATCCTTTAAATCGGCCTTTCATTTGCAAATGAGAAATGTTTGATGAACCTGGCTTTCTAGTTTTAGTTCAAATACATGTGTAAAAAGAAGAGTTATAAACTTGCTGGTTAAAACATGAACCATGACTAATAAATGTATCAAATATTTTCAGACATATCATAAATGACAAATATCACAAATGAAAATGCCTCAATGGACATTTTAACCTGGCTGGGGGGCAGTGGAGAGCTGAAACCCCAACTTCAAGGTAAGCCAGACAGCCCTAGTGACAACAGATTAGTAGTCATATCAGCAAGATAAGCCCACGTTCTTACAAGCCTTAAATCCAGGGCAGGAATCTGATCTGACAGTGACACCTCCTGCATGCCAGCCCAGCACTGGAGAAAGTATGTATGTTGTTGCTCCCCATAACTCAGTAGTGCTATAGCCAGAAATTGTCTTGAGAAGGAGTCTACTATTTGAGACACAGCTACCATGAGGACATGAAACCAAGAACAATCACCATTCAGGGAGTCTGTGTTTAGGTGGAAGATGGCCAGGAAAGGACACAGACCCACAAAAGTTTAAGCAGTAGGGAGCCCTGCCTAAGTAGGACACAGTGGTAATTGGCCATGCCCACTGGCAGGAGCAAGTCCCATTGTCTGTGGATTACAGTGGAGATTGAAAGCTCTGAGCCCAAGTCTGTGACCAAAGGACTGCTCCTGAGCTGCCTTCTCATGCATGTGATTTGTTGCCAGGTAGGACTGAGAACCCTAAGCCAAGTTATATGGAATCACCCAGATTCCCCAGCCTCTTTTCTCTTGCAGTGTGACTAACTGCAGAATCTAAAAGTACCGAAACCAGCAGATGATGCCAGGTTCCTTAGTGCTACCCCACCAGGTTCAGGCCTTGGTGCTCTACTTCTTTCCCCTGCTCTCCAACACCCTTAGGAGACATCCCTAGGACTCGACATTTGCCACCCTTGGGTGCACAAACTGAGGTGCTTCTGGAACAAGTGGTAACAGAATGAACCCACAAGCTTCTTAGGACTGGCCGTGGCTCCCTTTTTACAAAGAAGGGAGATTTCTAGAAGGAATGTAGCCCTGAAGTTGATGAATGACCCTTGACCAATCTGACCATCAGGCCTCATTATAGCACTAGACTTCACAGTAGGAACTGCAATAGATTTCAGCTGTAACTCACTAACCTCCTACACCTGGCAGATTCCTACACTGAGGCACCAGAAAGAAGTTTCTCCAATTCTTTATCATTAATTTAAACGTTTTTTATACTTTCTTTTAAAATATATTGTAATACTGCTTTTATTTTTAAAATCTTTTTCTGTTTTTATTCTTATTCTTACCTTTACCTAACTTTATTTATTTTTCTTTATTTTATAATCAGATTTTATCTCTTTCTCTTCCTCACACCCTGTTCCTTTTTTATTCTGTTTCTTTTCTTTTATTTAAACTTGCTTCTTCCTTTTTTCCCATTGCCTGGAACACTTTCATTTTGTTCATTTACTATTACTATTTTTACCCTAATTAATTTTTGACTTCATAGTCTAGTCTACAATATTCTTGCCATTTTCATTTCTATGTTACACATAATGTTGTAACTGGCTTTAATTGATATCTAAATTATTATGGTTGTGATGCTGTTTGGCATTTTCTTTTCTACTCTCCCAGGGGTACTAGGAATTCTGCCCTCAACAGAAAACTGCTCACTGAAGATCCCCATATAAAACTGGAAAATACATCCATCCCAACAGATGTAAAAATCACAACTTAGACACAAGAAATATGAAAAAGCAAAACAAAAAAAAACTCCTTCAAAAGTTCACAACTCCACTGAAACCAAAGACAGTGAAATGGCTGAAATGCCAAAGAATTGAAAAGTCTAGTTTTAAACCCCATCAGTAACTTAAAGGGGATTCAAACAGATGAATGAAGTAAACAAGTCAATTCAAGACCTGGATGAAAAAGTCAACAAAGAGATACAGATTCTGAAGAAAAAGAAGAAGAAAAAAAAAAAAAAACCCAGAATTTTGGAAATGGAAACAATTTATTGAATTATTAAAAAAAAAAAAAAAACTCAATAGAATGTATCACCAGGATTGAAGGAGTGGCTCAAGTGGTAAAGTGCCTGCCCAGCAAGCATGAAGCCCTGAGTTCAAACCCCAGTACTGCCAAAAAAAAAAAAAAAAAAGTATCACTAATATACTAAACCATAAAGAAGAAGAATGTATTGAAGACATGGTTAAGGAAATAATTACATTGAGACAACAATAAAGAAAAAAAAAGCAAATATGATCATTATCCAAGACCTCTGGGACGTGATTAAGAAACCAAAGATACCAATCCGTGGCACAGAGGAAGAAACTGAAAGGCACAGAAAATTTACTCAATGAAATTATAGCAGAAAAATTTCCAAATCCAGGGAAAGAAATGGACATCAAAGTACTGGAAACGTTTAAAACCTCAAGTCATCATGACCTTTAGAAAAAAACACTCCATATCATATTACAGTTACAATACCAAGAGTTCAAAACAACATTAAAAGCTGCAAAAGAGAAGCAGCATGCTATATACAAAAATTCTATCAGAATAGCATCAGACATAGGGTAAAAATGCAAAGGCTAGGAGAGCAGGATTGAAATAATGGTCAAAAAAGACAACTGTATCAAGCAACCTTATCCTATAAAACCAATGGGGAAAAAAAGGCCTCCCACAATAAGCAAAAGTAAAGCAATTCATGACCACTAACGCAGCAATGCAAAAGACACTAAATGAAATACCACACACAGAGAAGAGGAAGGAAGATATATACAACCACAGGAGCTTGGAGAAGAATAAATCTTATTAGGAGAAGAGATTTTAAAAATGAGAAATAAGAAAGAATAAAACACTATTAATTCAGTAAACCAGAAAACTTCTAAGATGAAGAAGTGAGAAATTAGCTACATACTCAGTTAGTATGAAACTCTCAATAATAACCCTAAATATAAACAGCCTTCACTTCCTAATTAAAAGACACAAAACTGCTTAATGAATTTAAAAACAAGATCCAACTATTTGCTGTCTACAAGAAACTTACCTCACTGGCAAAGATACACATAGACTGAAAGTGATAAAAAACAATACTCCAAGCAAGCAGAATCAAAGCAAGCAGGAGTAGCTACACTCATATCTGACAAAGCTACTTCAAGCCAAAATTAGAGAAGATAAAGAAGGTCACTACATATTACTAAAGGGAGCAAGCCATTAAGAAGATATAATGATTATAAACATATATGCACTGAATGTTGATGTTGATCCACCCAATTTTATAAAACAAACACTAATGGATGTAAAGGGACAGGTCCAAGTACAGTAATAATGAGTTACATCAATACTTCACTCTCATCAAAGATAGATCATGTAGGCAAAAAAATCAACAGAGAAAAGTAAGTCACAGCACCACAGATAAAATGGACTTAACTGACATCAACAGAATATTCCATCCAACAGCTGCAGAATACACCTTCTCAGCAGCCCATGGAACTGACTTTAAAACACTTCACATTTTAGATCATAAAGCAAGCCCTGACAAGTATAAAAAAAAAGAAGTAATTTCTTATAACTCATCAGATATTAATGGAATAAAACCAGCAATCAATAGCAGTAGAAACTATACAAATACTGGAGATTGAACAATATACTTCTGAATAATCAGTGGGTCACTGAAGAAACGAGGGAAGAAATTTAAAAATTCCTAGAATCACATGAGAAAGAAAACACAATTAACCAGAACCTTTGGAATAGAGCAAAGGCAGCTTTAACAGGGAAGTAAGATTATAGCTGTTAGTGATCACAAATAACCTAATCATGCACCCTCAATTTCTTAGGGAAAGACAGGAATAAGCCAAACTCAAAACTAGTAGATGGAAAGAACCAATAAGTATCAGTGTGGAAATTAATGGAATGAAGAATAAAAGAACAATACAAAGGATCAATGGGACAATGAGTAGAGAACAATAAATAGATTCTTTGAAATCAAGATTGGCAAACCCTTAGCCAAACTAACCAAAAGAAAAAGAATACACAAATTAGTAAAATTAGAAATGAAATGGGTCATATTACAGCAGATACAGACTATTTTAAAAACATTATTCCAATGAATTGGAAAATACAGAAGAAATTTATATATTTCTATCTACATAATGATCTACTAAAATAAAAACAAGAGGATAAAAAGCAACTTAAACTGAAAATGAGATTGCAGAAGTAATGGTTTCCCAATTAAAAAAAAAACCCAGGACTGAACAGATTCACAGAGTTCTACCAGACCTACCACCAGTGCTCTTCGATCTTTCACATAATATAGAAAGGAAAGGAACACCTTCAAATTTCATTCCATGGAGCCAGTATTTCCTAGATACTAAAACATAGCAGAAAGATAAAACTACAGTCCAATTCACTGATGAACACAGACACAAAATCCTCAATAAAATATTTCCAAATTTAATGTAATACCACAATAAAAAAGATCATACATCATGATCAAACTGGTTTCATTCCCAGTAGACAAGAATGATTCAACATATGCAAACCAGTAAACATAATACACACACAAATAGAATCAAGGACAAAAATCATGTGATCATATCAAAAGATGAAGAAAAAGCCTTTGATAAAATCCAATTTTTTCATTATCCCTTCATGATAAATGCTTTGAGGAAAGTAGGAATAGGAAGATCATACCTCAGAATAATAAATGTACAACAAACATACAGTCCATGTTATACTCAATGAGAAAAATGGAAAACATTTCCTCAAAAATCAGGAACAAGACATGTGGAATTTGCTGTCAACATAGCACTTGAATTCTTAGCCACAGTAATAAGGCAACGGAAAGAAATAATAGGGATATAAATAGGAAACCAATGAGTCAGATTACCTTATTTGCAAATGGTATGATCCTATACTCAAAAGACCCTAAAAACGCCACTAGAAAACTCTCAGAACTGATAAACAGTTTCAGCAACGTATCACAAAACAAAATCAGCATGCAAAAAACAGTAGTTTTCTATATGCTAGTAATGAACATAGAGAAAGAAATCAGGAAAACAATCCCATTCATAATAGCCTAAAAACAAAAACTCCAGATAAAAACCTTACCAAGGACTTGAAAGACCTCTGTAATGAAAAGTATAAAACACTAAAGAAGGAAATTGAAGACAACACTAGAAGATGTAAAGACATCCCTCTCTCACCCTGTACACAAAACAATTTAAAATTGATCAAATACTGCAATATGACTTGAAATTCTTTTGAAACTACTAGATAAAAATTCAGAGAACACTTCAACATATAGACGCATGCAGTGCATTTTGAAGTCGCTCAGGAAATAAAAGCAAGAATTGACAAGTTGGATCAAATCAAATTAAAACATTTCTGCACAGCAAAGGAAATAACTACCAGAATAAAGAAATGGCCTACAGAATGGGAGACCGTCTTTGTCATTTATTTATCTGATAGGAAAATAATAGCCAGAACATAGAAAGGACTCAAAAAAATTAACCACCAAAAGAACAAATAATTCAATCACTAAACAAACAAATAACTAAAGAGACAGCTCTCAAAAGAAGAGGTAATGACCAATGATGTATGGAAAAGACGTGCAACATCTTTAACCATCAGGCATCAGGAAAGCACATCAAATGATCGTTAAATTACATCTCACGCCAGTCAGAACGGCCATCATCAAGAAAACAAACAAATGCTGGCAGTGATGTGAGGAAAAGGGAACCCTTATATGCATGATGGTTCCTCAAAAACTAAAACTGCCATATAATCCAGCTTACCATTCCTGGGTATAAACCTGAAGGAATATAAAACAGTATACAGTAAAGATACCTGTGTAACCATGCTGATTAGGACACTCGTCACAAAAGCCAGGTTATGAAATCAGCCTAGATGCCCATTAACAGATAAACGCATAAAGAAAATGTGAGATACACACACGACACACACACATACACACACACATTCACACCACACACAACAGAACAGACAACAAAATGATGTCATCTGCATGAAAAAGGATGGAACTGGAGATCATAATGTTTAGCAAATAAGACATTCAGAAAGACAAATATTGCATGTTTTCTCTCCTGCGCAGAATCTAAACTAAAAAGAAATATAACACAAGAAAACAGAAGGGTGACTATTAGGGAAAAGGAAGTGGACCAGCAGGAAGAGGGAGAATGGAAGGTAATGGGTGGTGAATATGATCAAAGCACATTATACACATGCATGAAATTGTCCTCATGAAGCCCATTATTTTGTACAAGTAATATATAGTAATAAAAAATTATTTAAAAAAACTAAAAAACTGAGATGAAGCCATTTACTGGGTGAAACTGCATTTAAGACCTATTAAAGTAGCTTACCTGGTCAGCTACTCCTCCAGGCAGAATAGTTTTGACTATCACACCAGTTGCTTTTCCTCCTATGATACCAAAGCCCAGGCCTGAGCCATCATTCACCAGTTCAATTGTTTCTACATGCTGCCAGTGAATCTAAAAACAAAGCTTTTATGTGAATTTATAAAAATTTACAAAACTCTAAAATTATAAATTTAAATTTTAAACTTATTTAAAATTTATTATAATAAAATTATTATTTTATTAGTGTTAAGTAATTGAACACAAACAGATGTAGCCATAAAAATGTCCCTTTCATTCAGTTTCAACTTCCCTTTCAACAGAATGTTGCTGCTATTGATACAATAATGCCTTTAAAAATTATCAAAGCCTTATTATAATGACTGTGTTTTGTCAATTAAAGATAGGAACTGTTTTTACAAAACAGTTATAGAACTTCAAAAATGAAAAGGAAAAAGTTCAAGGGGAAAAACTGTCATATGTTACCAATGTCTTCTGCCTAATCCTGCCTAGAGGAAGGATTCCAAATTAAATGACTTCTTAAAGTCACTGCAGCTTAATTTAACAAAGCAATACTATGGCTGTATTTGTCTACAGATAAAGTCAATTTTATTAAAGGATTACATCTTCTTTAGGAATACTATTGAAAAATTACACAAAGAAAGTAAAGGCTGTTTTAGAAGCTAGAAACTTAAGTCATAATTTAGCAATAAATATTTCAGGCTAGAGAAGTGACAAAAAAATAAGAAGACTAAAACTCAAGTAGTACAAAGAACCTTCAGGAAACAGAAATCTGGAAACAACCAAACAGAAATGGAGAAATATGCTCAGTCCCTTCAGAAAATCTTAGGTACTCACTGGATTAGAGTGAGCTGAGACTGTGCTGGCTGCAGATGGAGAGCGGGAAACTCGGGGGCTGATGAGCTGAGGCAAGGAGCCTCTGGCAATAACTAGCTGGACCACATCCTTGGCTTTCTGGAGGATGCTGATGGCCTGCTGATGTGTAATTGTCTGATCAAGTGCCTGCCCATTGATAGCAAGGATCTGATCACTCTCCTTCAGTCTTCCATCTCTATCAAGGATGAAAAATGAGGTGATAAAAAGACACTGACAGCTGCTTTGGCATAAATGTTCAGATCACTATTAATCCTATTTTCTAATTTCTACTTCTTTAACTTTTTCCTATAAGTCTACTTTTAAAAGTGTATGATTTGGCTCCAGGTGATCAACTCTTTCAAGGTAATTCCATTGCTACCCCTCACTAAAACCTGACATTTAAAAGGCCTCTTTTTTTTTAAATTAACCACTCAACCCACAAATTATATATGGTGCTATCTTTTAAAAATGAATACATATACTGCCTTGTTTGTTTGAGTACATTAATGAAATACAGCTCAAATTATGAAGGTATTTCTAAGTATAGTCATTTTGATTATCTAAATCAAAAACAGCCCCCCATAGTAACAATGAAAATGAGGTTATAATGATATTTTTCTTTCCTTACTAAAATAATTAATTTATATCTATTTAAAAGATATTTCATTTTCAAGAACTTGCTTTTTATCACAATGCTAATGACTTCTAAAAACTGGGTAGTATCTGCTACCAGTTTTCTACTTGTTTGTTTTCATTCATTTTTGCTTCTCTAAATTCTTCCACAGTGACCAAAGTCTTCTGAAAGTGACATCAAAAACAGAAAAGATGCTACAGGGATCTCACCTGTAAGCCACACTGCCCTCTTGTATTTCTTGCACAAATATTCCCAGCTCTCCCCTGTTTTCACTCCTGAGCCCCACAACGCTAAACCCAAGGCCTCCACATGGAGGTTTGAGGAGCTCAAAAACTTCTACATGGCGACCCTATTCAGGAAACAAAGCAAAAAACAAAAATAAAATTAAAAGCCAATTACTAGCCAGGTGTGGTGATACACTTAAATCCTTTAAACACTTTAGTCCTTTAATCCTAGCACTCCAGGAGGCCACACTGTGCTAAATATTGAGACCCTGTCTCAAAACAAACAAACAAGCAAACAAAAGCCAATTATTATAGTTAATAGTCAGCCTATGAATGGCATTGCTTCCTTTACAAAAAAGGGAAGAAATTGAAAAAGAATTTTCTATGATCATTTTTAGCATCCATGCCCCAGAATGGAACATTTTATTTTTCCAAAAGAGTATTTCTGGACTACAACATATAATGTTCAATTTAAATGTGCCCCCCAAAAAAGAAAATAATATAGTAGAAAAATCTTTGAACCATCCAAACTCTCTCAAAATCGACTTCATTTGCATTACAATTTTTTCTAATGTTATAAATGTCACTACATTCTACAAATTATCTAGGACTTGATCACCCTCCTAAGATATTCTGTCATACCTAACAGGAAGAATTATTCTTACCTGGGCCATATTTTTTATCAGCTGTTCAAATTCATCACATGCAGGTTTCTCATTGGTATGAGGAGTACCAGGTCCTGTAAGTGTTTCCAGATTCCCATTATTTGGAGGTAATGAAGTTGATTCATTTTGCACAGCAGGAATTACAACAGAAGTAAGAGGAGGAATGTGGGCATATTCAACATTTGAAGACGCTGATGTTACAGTGTTTACCTAAGAGTAACACAGGAATTATTAACAGTAACATTACCTTTTAGTGAATTATCAAATTGTCTAGGGTGATTTTAGGAACCTCCCAAACTTGTATTCATGTCAGAAATGAAAATGGCCTTAGGAGTACTTTTCCCTTTAACTGGATAACTTGACCTTAACTCCTTGCACTTGGTGTCAGAGGAGCTAGGCAAAGCTGGCATTCTGAAGGGCTGTGCCCTTGGACTTTGTAATCTGGAAAACTTCTGGTACAAAGACATAAGTAACGATAAAACAAAAAGAATGCTTCATTTTCCCAAAAAAAGTTATAATTACATGTGCCGTTATAAAAAGCTCCAAGTTAAAGCTAACTGATGAAGCACTCAATTAAAATGGTCAATCCTAGTTTGATATTTCTGTAGTATATCAGGAGTGCGACTTTTTATAAAATATTATGTATTGGAAAGATTACATGAATGATATATTTAGAGAACTTTGTTGCTTACTTACCTCCAGCTATACTAATCTCATTGTGCTTCCAACTGCTACCACTCTACCAGTCAGGTACATTCTCCCCCAAATATCCAAATACTTACTTCTTTATTTCATTCAGGTTTGCTCAGCCTTACCTCAGAGCAGCCCTACCTGGCAAGTCTACCTGGGACAGAACCTACCATCTCGCTCCATGAGCTTACCTAGCCCTCCTTCTCTTCATAGAGCTTTTCACCATCTGACCTACAACCTATTGTGATGGAGCCTCTACCACCATCAATGGAGGGAGATGACAGTTTAAAATTCCTCCAGGAGAGGGATCTGACAATTTCATTTTCTACTATGTCTTTATTCTCTAATAGAGCACTCTGAACAGACTTGTATCTATTTTTCATACCCTGCTCTGATGTAATCTCCCAACCAACTCTACAAATATCATTATCTCCAATTTACACATACCTAGTAAGTGGTTTGAGACCTAAATTCTTTTATCATGGTGCTCATATCGTGTTTGTATTACACACAGAGCATATAATCAATTGAAGTGTCATTTCTGTATAATGACATAAAAAGGATGCATAGATGAAAATTTTCAAAATATCTCATAGTATAGTCACTAATCCACACATAAGAATTTGTTACTTATCTTTAAAAATAAAACAGGAAGCTCATTAAGTTACCGATAATTCAACCATTATATTGACTATCTACAATCATGGGTGCAAAAAAGATCAATATGTTGGAAAGAGGTTTTTGGGAATCCTTTCAAAGGCTTATTTTTAAATATACAGCAGGCATGATCAATTATTTTTTCAAAAGCAAGCTTCTTATGCCAAAACTGATTTTTTTTATCCTGAGCCATGGAAACTTTAGCAAAGCCTGCCAGCAGAAGATACACGGCACAGGTTGAGGCAGATGGCATAAAGAAATTTGTGACAGGCTGAAGATCCCACACACCAGGACCTAATGCCTATGGTATGCTTGCATAGAAAAAATATTTGGACTTCTGCTATGGTAAGCCAGAATGAACAAATCACATTCCAAGAATAGATGGTCTATCTATAAGAAATTAACTGTTGAAGTAGAAGCTCTGGAACTATGGAGGACTAGCTTGACGGCATTCCAAGAGTAAAGTTAGTAGGAACAGAACAAGTACAATATTACAATATGAGAACCATGTAGAAGTATTTAATATCAATTATCTCCCTATTTGTTACAGGTCTCATTAATGTAAATGACTCTTCCTATTTCTTCCCTGCCCTGGAGATCTCATATAAATGTAAAATAAAGATTATGTATTTAAAACAGATCACATATTTAAAAACTATCATTTAGTTATACCATCAAGTCTTGTTTTTAAATTTGAAAATTAATACTAACAGGAAAAAGCACAAAGGTGCCTCTTGATCCTGCTCTACCTATTTATTAAGATGACTTTGTGAACTATGATCTCTTTGAGAAACAAAAATGAATCTTATTTGCCTTTATAGGTTCATTCCTACAGACATACTATACATATTTAATAAAAAAAAAGAACTTGACTCCCATCCTTTTGTTTGTGGAATATAAAATAAAACAAAACACAAATATCTGGTGATTTTTATACATAGATAAACAATCTGTATAATTTATGGAACTCACTAGTTTTTTTCAGGTGGAGCAACAATTTGAATGCTTGAAAAACAATTTCACTGAAGAAATCTTTTAGGTATTTGAGATCTTTCCTCAATGTTTCACAGCTTAATCAATTACTTTATTCATTCACCTACATAGTTTTCAAAAGAATTAGCTTTCTCAGAAAAAAGCTTATGTCATATTTTTATATAATGTAACTTCATAGAGTATAAAATAAGCATAAATGGTTTAAGTAGCTTTAAGAATGGCTTCTGACAAATGCATCCTTAGGTGATAAAGGCTGAAGAAGTAAACAAACTTGAGTATCTGAACGAAGTTTTAGTGCCTGGGCATCAGCCAATATGCTATACAGAGGAAATAGTATCTTTTTACCTACCAAGTTAACCTATCGAAAATTCTCTCGCTCTTTGTGTGTGTGTGTGTGTGTGTGTGTGTGTGTGTGTGTGGTGGTGGTGGTGGTGGTATTGGAGTTTGAACTCAGGGCTTCTTGCTTGCTAGGAAGGCATTGTACCACAGGAGCCATTCCGCCAGCCCCAAAAATTCTCTTAATACTATATAGAATTAAGTTCAACTTTTAGGAATAGTTATATGAGTAAGCCTTTTGCCAAGAAAAAAAATAGAAAACATGCATAAGAACCATTAAAAATTTAAATACATCAAAAAGAAAACAAGAATTGTGGCAAAGTCTATTGATAAGGAGCAAAGCAACTTGTCCAATCTATAATGAAAGAGAGTAGATTACACAAGAGCATCAGAAAGCATGGATTCCCATGTCTACTTTACAGGCTGACCACCACAGCACACCAAAGTAAAACAGCTGATATAAGAAAAATTATAAAAGTCTGGAGCAAAAAGGTACATTTAAAGGAGACAAACAGCTGACTTCCCAAGCAAGGTTAAAAAGCAAAACATAAAAACCTAACAACGTATGCATAAAACACGTAACATTTTCACAACCCATACACATTCACAAACATACCCTGTTGCTTTTGACTTGTATAAAAGAAATACTAAAGTAAATTCTTGGAAGGAAAGAAACTGAGCTCAGATAGAAGATCCTAAATGCAGGAAAGGTTAAAAAGTACAAAAATGTTTAACATGTGAGTGAATCAGTAGAAATGGCTTAAAGTAACAAATAATCTAAATTTGTGAAGTCTTAAATATATGTGGAAATACAGTACACATAGTTACACATAAGGCAGAAGTGAGAAAAAATTGGATTGAAATCTTTTAAGTTCCTTGCATCTTCCATGAAGAGATAACAGTACTAATTAAACTAAAATTGAATAAGTCTATAATACATATATCTGACAAAAGAACAGTATTTTGAATTTACTAGGAAACTTAAAATTCAATAGTAGAAAAAAAATCACGTTAGAAAATGGGCAAAAAAACAAGAAAAATTTTACCAGAGAAGACATGAATGATGAAAAAGCACATAAAAATACCCAGCATAATTAACCATTAAAGAAATGTACATAAAAGCACAAAGAAGTATCACAATACTCCTCTCAGAACAGTGAGGCTGCAAAGAAACTGGATTGTTGTTACACTGTTGGTGGGAATGTAAAATGGTACTGTCCGCTGAAAAATACTTTGTTAGTTTCTAAAAATTAAACATGCATTTACTACACAAACTTTTTTTATTGTAAGAAAATAAAAACCTATGTCAACACAAAACTCTTTACACAGTTGCTCATAGTAGTAACTTTAACAATAATAGCAAAAAAACTGGAAACAACATGGTATTTTATAGGTGCACCTATACCATGAAATACTACTCAGCAATAAAAAAGGAACAAAACAGTAATATACACAACATGGATAGATCTCAAGAGCATGGTGCTAAATAAGAAAAAGCTAACCTCAAAATGTTCTTACGACATCATTAAAATAACAATATGATCCATATGAAAAACAGATTAAAGTTTGTGGGAGGTTAGGGATGGTGTGGGAGGGAAGTAGGCATGACAATAAAGGAATAGAATAAAGGAGATCACTGTGGTTTTATGGTGGTGTTACACAAATCTATTACTGGAAAAAAATGACACAAATTTAAAAATTGATACATATTGTACCAATGACAGTTTCCTGGTTTTGATATTTGAAACTTGGTAACATATACATAGGACCTCTCTAGACTACATTAAAAAATGCCAATGAATTATTAAAAATAAAAAGCTTTTTTAAAAGTTGACTTAAATCAAAGAGACATGCTATAATTTTAGGGTAACAACTAAAAGAATAATAAAAAATGTGTATATAATATGCTAACACAGAAAGAAAATGAAGTAAAAAATAACACAGAAAGAGAAAAAAATAAAACAGGTAATAAGCTGAGCATGGTGGTACATGTCTATGATCCCAGCTACATGAGAGGAATTGAGTGTCCAAGAGCACCTGAGCATGTGGATCAAGCACCTAACTAGCAAGTGTGAGGCCCTGAATTCAAATCCCAGTATGGACAAGAGAGTCCAATGTCAGTCTAGGCAAAGTTAGCAAGACACAATCTCTCAAAAACAAAAGGTTTGCAACTCAAGTTGTACAGGAGTAGTCCACCAATCATGAGGGCCTGGAATCATGCCCCAGAATTTTAAAAAACATATATATAATAAAATTAAACTGAAATTTGTCAAATGATAACATTAAATATAAGTTTAAATGTAAAAGGCTAAAAATCTCAAGCTAGGGGAAAAAAATTCCCCCCAATGCATGCTGATTACCAAAGATGTAAGTTAAAGAAAAATTACAGTTAAAAGACAGGAGAAAGTACTATTGTATGTACATTCACCAAAGAAATCTGTTACAGCAAAACTAAGATTAGGCAAGTAAACATTAATACATGCCTTTATAGAGATAAAGTAGATCAATACCATTTACTGAAATAAAGCATAACC